ATTGGCGGAGGTACTCAGTCGGAGTGCCAGCGGTCCGTCACAGTTGTGAATAGAGACATTTTCTGTACCTGGACATAGTTGGCTTACCACACCCAGTTAAGCCAATTATCTCCAGGATAGAGGACTCTGTGGAACTGGATTTGGCTGGAAAGCCATGCTTTAGTGGTCACAAAGGACTTCGACCTAACTTTTAAACCAATGGAAGGAATTGTCTGATTTTTAAATATGTTTGTATTTGGAGTATGCTGATACTGAAAATGTAAGTTTTCTGTGAATGTATACTTTTAAAGTTATGAATATTGTGTAAAACTGTGTATTTTCCTACCTGTGATAATTACGTTAGCCCATTGTGTTCAGTAATTGTATCATAGGCAGAGGGGAGGATTTCTGCTGGTATGAATGGGAGTGTTTAGCTGTGTTGTAATGTATTGATTGGTTTGTTCTTCAAAACCCTGTGGGCGCTACTATGTTTGTAAAATGGACATAAAAGCAGAGTGCTTGATTAAAAGCTTCAGTTCTACTTCACCCTCAATTTGAAGTGCCGTATTGGGGGAATCTGCTACAGGGGATTGCTATGCTTGTCATACTCTCTTGCTAAATCACTACAAAGCTCTTGTAAGAGCTTGTTCCTGCCTTGCTCTCTGGAGGATTCTACGGTGGTTATGGTGTCTGTTGCAGTGCTTGGAGTCCTCATGAAGCCCTAGAAACATCCTTCAACTGAGGTACCCAGTCGGGGTGCCAGGTGATCCGTTACAGCCTCCATCCTGCATCCTGAGTTACATGCAAGTTATACCTGACACATACATATACACTCAATCCACACACAAACACGCAAGTCCCACACTTACACATGTATTCAATCACCACACATATATAAACACAGCATACATACACCCGTGCACACACAGACTTACACATTGACATACAGGGTCATATTAATTAACATAGAAGCTACAGGGAAGCAACCACAGAAACACTTTTTGAAACCGGTCCAAAGCAGCCGCAATATAAATATTATGGGTTTATTATGAGATCGGCTGCGGTCCCTACAGTGACGCTCTTCTCATATCAGACCATCTCCTTTTATTTATTTATCCTTCCCAGTACTCAGTCTGTTCTGTCCACGGAGCTGGGTTTAGCACTGACTGTAAGTTACATACTATACGGATAGTGAAATGTCATGTGGACAAGCGAAAGGCGTTCTGTATGTCACATGTGTAGGTCGTAACTACGAAGACAATGGAAATTACATTTCAGTTTCTCATTAGGACCAACAAGCCCTAAATCCAGCACAGCGTGCACATTCATACCAACAAACATATATACACACACAGACAGACACACAATCCCATTCATACCAACAAACCTATACACAGACACACAATCCCATTCATACCAACATACATATACACACACAGATACAAACACACAATCACATTCATACCAACTTCCATATACACACAAACAATCACATTCATACCAACATACATATACACACAGACACACAATCCCATTCATACCAACAAACATATACACACACAGATACACATATACACACAGATACACAATCACACTCATACCAACAAACATATACACACACAGACACACAATCATATTCATACCAACAAACATATACACACAGACACACAATCATATTCATACCAACAAACATATACACACACAGATACACAATCACACTCATACCAACAAACATATACACACACAAACAATTAGTGATACACATTTAAAATGGGGAAATAGTAGTAGAGGTGCTTCCCATGCAGGTGTCAGATGTATTGCAAATGTTGGCACTGTTGAAAAAAGGAACCTCTCACACTGGTATATGTCGACTTACAGGGCTTGATTGAGCCAGAGAAGGAAAAACACAAAAAGGCATCTCTATTTGAGATTAGAACTTGTAATCACTTGTATGTCTACATGGGGGATAATTGCTGTACACATTCAAACGTCCCATCCAAGTGTAGATATGTAACAGTGAAGGTTAC